GGTAATGAAACGTTTGCAAGAAAAGAACCAAGCTCAGAGAACCCCAAGGACTCCACAAAACAGGTATTATTGACTATTTATTTTACATATAAACTGCTCCAATATGTAAGACACTGGGAGAATACAACAATGCAAGAATAAACATAAAGGAAACATAAAAATTAACTAATCAGACATACCCAAGATGACTGCCCACAATCACTCAGTTTTGGCCAAAGGCACAGTGGAATAAAACTTTTTATTGCCTTACAAAATGCAAGAGAAGGGCTTAAACACATATCTGGGGAAATCATCTTCCAAAGCACAGGGGCCACCACAGAGAAAGCCTAGCCTTTGCCCTATGTATTTCTGCCAGGGAAAGTATTCTCTTCAGACCTTCTTGAAATCCTCAGACCAGACAGGAAGATTCAATTTTGACAAAATGGAGCCTGGCGTATTAAGGCCTCTATTGTATAGGGCTTTATAGGTGATAACCTGCACTTTGAACTGATCATGGAAGCCTACTGGTAACCAGTGTAGCAACCTTAAAACCTTGCAACAGAGGGGTTGCCCTGCCAAAGTCTGGCTACCACATACTGGACCAGTTTCCACTTCCAAATCATCTCCAAAGGCAGCTCCACCTAGAGTAGATTACAGCAGTCCAACTGCATTGGTGATAAAGAGGTGAGTCACCATTACAAGGGCATTCAAGTACAGACAGGATAATTCATTAAAAGCAGTAACATAAAAAACAATATAAAATCTAGATTTAAAATCAGCACCTTGCTAACAAACTAAGAATTATTTCTAGAAGTGCAAGGATGCCACAGGTTTGCATTTTTCAAACAGCAATCTCCAAATGCCACATGATACACCTATCATCAAAGTGACTTTCATAAGCAAAGCATAATTTAAAACGATGTGATATTTAGCCAATTCACTGACTAGATTAAATAAAACTGCTCTCATTTAAACAGATTTAAATTTTATATATAACTATTATCATTATTTTAATTAAACCTTTAAAAAGTTCAGGGTGGCAATTGACTTTATATAAAAGGGGTATGCTTCCTTAGACAGATGTGCAGGTATTTGGATCCAAAGCAGGAAGGGCGCTTGGTTCTGGGATGGCCATATTTGTTGTACCTATCTCCTTAAAGAAAACATACTGAAGGATCCCTTATTGTACACCACTATTTATTTATCTACAAGCTAGAGTGCTTTTCCTGCTGCCAAGTATGCATGTTTCATCTAAACACGAAAAAGAATACTGTTTTATTCAGAGCAATGTTATTCATATGTAAATTAGGGCATTAATCAAAACATATTTTAATTCACTTTCTTTCACGGGGTGAGGTCTCTAATAATATGGCAGAGGGATTTGTAATTCAAGGGGAAAAAATCCAAATTCTTAGGAAGATGTAAAACATCACTCTAAATTCCAACCATGGCCCAGAATAGCAGCTTGACTAGAGAATAAATGTTATATGACATTAACTGTCTTCCTGGCTTAAAGATATAAAAATTAAATTGCATGTAAGATTTGCAAATTTGTTCAAGATGTCCATAGAATATCCAATACTTGCTACATTTTTAGTATTTATAATTCATAAAACAGGCACTATACCATATTAGGAAACAGAAGAATAGCACCACATAATTGCAGTTAAAAAAAAAAAAGACACTCTCCCCTGACCAAAAAATCCTGAAGTCAAATAAAAAGCATGTTATGGAGAAAGTGTTTTTTGTGTTCTTAACTAATTCACAAAACCCTAACGCTAACTCCCATTAATACTTACATAGTTACTACATACATTCATATAAAAAATAAATTTAACTTATCCTTAAAGGCATTTCATCCTCTACACTCCCCCAACCTCAGTAAGATATTTATGTTATCTCACCTTAACATACCTTAATTTATACACTGAAAACATACCTTAATTTATACATACCTTAATTTATACATTAAAAGAACATACCTTAATTTATACATTAAAAAGAATTCATAAATCTCTTTATTGCAACTGTGCTCATATTTACCTGAAGCCTATGTATTTAAAACTGATTAATCTACTGGGCCAAAATCTTTTAAGGCAAATCTAAATGTAGAAACCACTTAAAGACTTGTTTTAAAGAAAGAGCTCCTTGCCTGCAAGTGGGAGCTGGGAAGAAAAATACAGTGGTACTTCAGGATACAAACGCCTCCACTAACA